AAGATTTCATCTCCGAGGTGGTCCCATTTTAAATATGTTTCAGCCTTCTTACAGAAAGTGGCTCTCTGTATACGTTTACACACCCGCCTGCCAGGCAGCCTCCCTCACTCTCCTCTGCTACCTTCTTTTAAAGCAACAGCTGCTCATTCATGGGACTGTGCAAACACCTGGGCTTCTTGGCTGTGTGTGCATGTGTGTGTGTGTGTCTAGAGAGAAGAGGGCACACTTTATGAGCTTTGTGGAATAGAAGGCTGCAGTCAGCCTCAGAAGATGCCATGCAGGACAGAAGCTGATAAAACGATGCCCTCGTAGGAAGGTAGAGAGTGGAGCAAGATAGGATTTTTTCAGACCTGTGATTTCACTGAACTCACTCAAAACAAGACAAAAATAGTTGGGTGAAAGAAGACGTTTATTCTACACCAAGCTTGACTGCAAGTTGTAGGGATGGCAGAGTAGGGCCTCACCGGGCAGAGGAGGTTGCTCTGAGTCCTGTCTCTTCTGTGTGACCGGCTGTGTGACCTTGGGCAAGTCATCCAGTCCGTCTCAGGGAAAGAAAGCTCCATCGTGTGAAAATAGGGCAAATAATTTCTACCTCGCCAGATGCTTGGAAGGATTAAACGAGGTACAGCGTAAATTAAGTTAGTGCAGCGTGTGTATAATAAACTCATAAAAAATAATAAATCTTAGCTCTCTTACATGTTGGCTTGGTGTTATGCTAACTTACTCTTTCTGGCATACTAGTTGTTATAATGTTATAAAATGTTGCTATGGCATAAAATTTCCAGTTCTTGAGGAAGAGGGCAATTAAGAATCTCTCACTGTGTCCTCTGAAGAGAAAAAAAATTCTCCTTAAGAAAACACGCCTGCTTTCCAGTTTCTTTCACCTGCAGACAGTTGTGATACAACTCCTCAACATATTGTTTTGTATTCTACATCGACTCCAGGGTCTACTAAAACTCATAAGGAAAGAGTAATGTAAACACGGGATCGCTGACTCCAACGCGGCATGGTTTATTATTGCCTTGCGTTTATTTTGAAGACCATGGAACACAACAGAGCTACTTCCTACTTTTTTAATCACAACCCAGTTAGCTGTGACCATCAATCATCTTACTCAAAGGGAAGATGGATGCGTGATTTTGCTTTTCGGACCCCAAAGCAATGTAGATTTGGCAAGGAGGAGTCGTCACCGTGAAAACAATCCATTTCTCAGGGGTGACACATTTTGTTTTCTGATTTGTGGGTGTCTTCCAAGTTGGCAGAAAATGTAAGGACATTCTCTGGAGGATAGTTCGAAATTTAATTAAAATGTTGTTTGAAACATACCCCTTGTGCTTTGCACTTGTAAATATGAGCCTATCAGGAACTCACACAGCGATGCGAATGTTCTCATTGTGACGTCGGGTAGCTCTGGTCGAGAGCTGTGTACATTCATCTTCTGACAACATAGCAGTGTGTCTCTTTTGCACAACTGGGCCCTGTGGGTAACTTCCGTGCAATGTATTCATAGTAAGAAAACCCGGTATTTTAAACTCTCCTCCTTTCCTCTGGGAGGTCGCTATATTTTAACACAAACCCTTGCTTCTTGTCCTTAGGGTTGGAAAAACTCCTATTCAACCAGAGGCTGATAAACAAAGGGTGCTCTGGTGAGCAGATGATAACTTAAAGCAGTTATAAGCTAAGCTCCTTGGTACTGAAATTAGGGAATGGCATGATATAGGAGTCTGAATACTCAAAACGCTGATTGTTACCTGACTTCAGCAACTTTTTGCTTAATTCTGCTTCTCAGTTGATGCACCCAGAAACTCAAAGAACTTTGACACTGTGTTCAGTGGACATATATTGAGCACCTGCGATGGGTACTAATGCTGTTATTTAGTATTGGATGGTATGTATTGAATAAGACAAGGTTGCTGCCCTTGAGAAGTTCACACACAAAAAAGTAACATTAGCAACTTGGAAGGAATAGTGCTTCTGTTAACGGAGTTAACCCCAGGACACATGGTAATATAATTTATTGAAGTGATGCATTCGGCCTTTGGAATCTGAGTAGCTACCACCTTCTGGTATGTTCAGTTGAGTCATTAGGAGGAGCTGACTGTAAGGCAGCATTTTGCTAACTATTTGATAGAATATTTGGTAATAGTCTTATTCTTTACACCTTCTGGGTTATTAAATAAGGAGACACGGCAAACATTTGTGCTTGGAACTTCGGTTACCCTTTATCTGAGGAAGGAATGATGGCTCTGCTGGGGACACTTCCTGGGAACACTTAGAACTCTCGATAAAAGTACCCACTGTTTGCAGAAGATGAATCCTCTCAGCTTCAGCATGTTGTTTCTGTTCACAGCTGGTTCTGTTTCCATTGACTTTGTGGCCAAAGGGGAAAACAGCAATTAAACTGTGTGATACTCTAGAATTAAACTCAAGATTATCCTTAAGTTAATACTCTGTGATGGTATAACTATTTCAGAATTTCCTACAAAAAGGCACTAACTCATGTTCTTTAAGCATTTATGGGCCTCTGTTAAACCTTATTTAAGTATTAATTTACTTAATGAATTGACTAGAGGTAAAATTGAAGTGATACTTTGTTCTTATTGCATCCATTAGATAGTGTCTTAGAAAGAACTTTTTGAATTTTAAAATGATTCACTGCCATTGTCCTTGTATGGTAGACACAGAAAGTTAAATACCTGATTTACTCAACTAGTACCAGTAATAGGTAATAGAAAATTAAAACTAAATACTTATCCATCAAGGTGGATCATTATGCTTTTCCTCAGGAAAAGCCTGTTTCTCCATATTTCTCATATTTGATGCTGCCTGCATTCCAAACTAATTTTTCAAACAAGGAAGGGAGATGCCAATATTGACTTTAAATTTTTTCAGGACCAATACTGTCAACACCAATCTTGATTCATAACTTAATGTTTGCCCTGAACACATTAGCTGCATTGTAAGCACAATGTTCTAGAATGCACATGTTTTACAATGATGGCTAAGAAAATAGGGTCTTTGCACTTAAGTATTACTACTTGTCTTTTGAATTGGCCTCCACAATGTCCATAAATACATATTATCTAATTGAATACGAAATCTGTGACTGAATAAAATTTGAGGAAGGTAATAGCAAGTTAGTATATTAGGTTTTGTTTTCTCAATATCAGAATATTTAGTCCAATTTATCTTTGTTACTGCTTTATAAACATTGCTGAAGTCAGGAATGAACCATATTCACTTAGATTGCAATTTGCTAAGAGTTTATTTACACTTTAACACTTCTTATCTTAAATTTTGTATTTCAGTCTTTCTTCCATAGAAAATGACAATGTCATAAACATTTTTCTCTAAAGGTTTTCTTATTTCTTTCATCTCCCACTCTGTCTAGAAGACCTACAGTCTGACTAATGGCAATAATTGCATTGATAATGCTTTAATGAGAATTGCTAACTATACATACCCAGATTCCCCAGATCCCCATTTCCCCCTTTTCTTTTCAGGAATGGGCTCTTTGTGAAGAAAAACTTAAAGATGGCTTGAATCTGATGTGTCTGCCAAATGTCCAAGTGTTTATGAAGCTAGAGTTAAAAAAAACATTTTTTCATGTTAAAAACTTTACAAGGATTTGGTGCAATCTTAAGATTTAGAATTTCAGATGGAATTTTGCAAAATGTGGTTGTGTTTGTTTTTAAGGTACTCCAAACTGGTTGCTTTATACAGGTTTAGTGTATTGGCCTCAAACTTACGAATTATTTCTTAGGTGTAAAAATTGTATCTAACACATTCATCGGTGAAGCTTAGTCCAAATGCTCGTATTTGCTTATTAACATAGATTCAGATTTCTTACCAAAAAATAGTACGATGGGTCCCATTTTGAAGGTTATGGGACTCGAGTGAAGATATGAATAAGATCAGTCTTGGAACATTCCTTCCAGAAATATTATCCTACTCACATCCAGCTCAGACTAATCTATCTCTATGTGTGTACCCCCCACAACCCCGTCTTTTAAAATGCTGATAGAATTGTGGATCATTTCAGTTTCTTAAATACAGCACTTAGTTATTTCATGTGTATGTATATATAATCTACACACTGGAAAGAGTCTTGAAGGTAGTTACAGCCTTTTAATTCTTGTGTATCCCATAAACATCTAACAGATATCAAACAGGATTTGGCCATAAATAGAAATACTTCCTAAATATGTATGTGCTTGATCCACAAGCTTTTTGTTTTGTTGTGTAGTGTTACTGATGTGTCCTGAGCTAAAAGCAGTTAAAGAAAAAGAATTCTGTAGGAGGAAAGATGTTTGTGTTTTCATCTGACTGTAGAGGTAGGAAAGACTAGGATGATACTCAAAATGGAGAGGGGGTTGCCTCAGCCATTACGTCCGTGCTCTTTGCAGCCTGGCACTGTGATGTCACTGGGAAGCAACCTTCACTGCTGAAGGCTTCTTGACCTGTCACTTATCTTCCACACCACAGCCTCTTTACTTTTGCTGATAGAATTCTCAAGTAGCTCTTTCATGCTTATTATTGTTATTGGTGAGAGCAACCTGTCTCAAATCAAACTTTACATTGGTTAAAATTACCCCTGGCCTTAAAGTGTCCGATCTGCCTCTATCCCTTTTTTCCAGCTCTGGCTGACTCCCTGGATGAAGTTTCTTTAATCTTTTCTCCTGACTTCTCTTTGCTTTTCTTCTGAGCTCTCCTGTCCTCACTTCAAATTGGATGTACTTCATAAAATGATGTCTATGTATTCAGCCATTCTGTTGAATTGAACTTAAATATTGGACAAAGTACATTTTAAGTGTTGTTTAACTAAAAGCTAATGTGAAAATGTTGGAGTATGTACCAATATAAACACATGAAACTTCAGACCATAATCAAATGTGGTTTAAAAAATGACGTCGTGTTCCTTCTAACTAGAAATATTAAAGTATATATATATAATTCACTTTCTGAGTCATGAAGTAATTTAGATTATATTTTATTAGACATTCTTTACCAATTTAAAATACTGCTATTTTTACATGCACAGAGGAAAATCAGTTTGGATAATTATATTTAGGCATTATTAAAATCAACCACAAAATAGAGACACTTTATTGTGTCATTTATCAACATACTTGATATGTATATCTAAAGTGCATTATGTTACAAAAAATATAGAAATTCAGCAGCACCAAGATACATTTACAAAATAAATACATCAATTGACAAAATAAATTATGGTAAATGTGATAATAATTGGATTAGCCTTGGCAAAAAAAAATATTCACAATAATCAATGTGCAGTTTCATATAGCAATGGGGGAGATAGTTTTATTCCAATGCATTTACAGTATTTACAGACAATAAATATTTCTAATACTTCCCATATGTTCACTATTACAGAATCCTGCAATATGTCCTCTGAAGGTCTTTGCTGAAAATTTCAATGCCTCCTGCAAAAAGAAAAGGGAACAGAAAGAAAAGGGGAAATAGGTTAATTCTCCTTACAAATGAGATATAAAATGGAGGGTATAAATTAAGGATCACAGAATTACAATGGATAGAAATTCAGGGACTTCTTGTAAATACCTACTAGTGGGAGGGATCGCTAGGATCCACCTGCCCCTTCCTTTGGAACCTCTTTTACAGGCAGAGTCTTTCATATGCCCAAATGATCAATGTGGTACAGAAGGAGAAAGGGCTTGCATTTCTAATTACACTCTGTCAGAGGCAGGAGACTCTGTGAGAATTTTCCAAAGTGGCCAGTTTGCAAATTTGGGAAGAGGTGGGCCAAATTCGAGAGTTTGGAAATAACGCTAGAGGAGGCTAGGCTGTGCGGTCCATCACCAAATACCCCATACTTAGAAGTTTATTCCCCAGTGTGGCCTGACATAGGTGATCCAAAGCTTGCTCATTCTGCTCAGGTTCTCATTTGGCCAATCTCTCCCTAATTTAATGGGCTAAGGTGAAGGCGAGGTGTATGATCTGGGGTGACTGTTGGAAGGATGCACAATTAAACTGTTTGCTTGATGATTTGATGATCTCTCATCTCTTTAACGGTCCCTAAACACTAATGAATAGAACTAATTTTGGATTTTAATTTTTGAAGGCCAAACTGAGTCTTATTTATCTCTCACTCTGCTGGTTTTTGAAATGGGCCTAGCATTAAACATTGGGAAAGTCTATTTTAAATTAGAGAGTAAGAATCACTTGAGTTAAAGGTACAAAATAGCAGTATTTCACACCACTGTGTTTGTTTTATTATTCAGAGGAAGTTACTTGGGATTGCTACCTTTTTTAACCCTTCTAAACACCGTACTGATAGTATTTTTAAATGGGCTAACAGCTTTTTTTCTGCTTTTCTCTTTCCCTTTCTCTCTTGTATGGTCTACTCCAGTGAGTAGGTATTGGTTCCTAAGGAAGCATCATAGAATGGAATTCATTGCATTAACAGCCAGAGCTGTGGGCAGTTTTACATGGCAGACCTACACGGGTGTAACTCTCTGGACTAAGTTTCTTTCATCTTTGCTACAAAAGAGCAAACTCCTGACAATTTAGGAAGTTTTCTGTGCAGCTTGAAGACAGAAAAGCAAGCTGAGCATTAAGAGTTTTTTTAATGTCTTAAGGAACTGACCTGTTCACCAACAGTTTTGGCTGCAATGGTAAAATAGCTCTTAATTGCAGAGAAAAGAAGAATTTAAGATTAAAATTTGAAATGGCAGGTAGATGGGGATGGCTATTGTAAATAAAACCCCAAAGATGACTGTAAAACTCAATTATTTGTGTACAAGGCCAATTGTACGATGTTTCTGAACTAAATGGTATATAGTCATCCGAGTTTAAGAATAACACAAGTAAGGAGGGAATGAACAGTCTTTTGAATAATTGATTCCTTAGAAGGAAAGAAAGAAAAAAGGAGTAAACTAAAGGGCCAAGGAAAAGATACTTTAATTATATTTCCCTCTGCCTGGCCAGTTCGCTTGTTATTCTTCCTTCTATTTACCTTTAACAAGGCATGTATGGGAAGAGCCAAGCAAAACATGTATCATGACCTGAAAATATATGTGTATGTTTATTATGTGTGCGTGAGAGAAAGAGAAAGGGGAGACAGTGCTTTAGAGTCCTCGCTCCTTTTTGTATTGAGAAGTTTTTATTTCTAGTCTGTTTAATGAGTCCTACTGTATCTGGACATCTCATTAGCAACATCAAAAATTCCAAAATGTAATTTCCAAAATTTAAAGCTATATATTTCCCATTGGTTCATGTGAGGAGGCCAGGTTTAGCTCAGTCATTTCTTTGAAGAAATACTACATCTATTATAATAATGTTCATGCTTGCCTTATCACCAGACCTCTTAATCATCATGTAATTATGCAAATAGACTGAAGAGAGGACATTAACAAACAACTGCTTATAAAACTTGAAAGTAGTTATTCTGAAAAGATTCTGTTTGGATTAGAAACTCCAAATGGAGCAAAGCCCCATTATGTTCTCACCAGCAGACTCCTAAATTTCCCCAATTTTCCCTGCATCTCTGTTGGGCTGTATTGGGAGAGTGCCAACATACAGCTGCCAAACAGAGCTTTCCATGAATGTCCCTTACAACCAGGGAATAGAGAGAATCAGAAACATTCTAGCTTTTTCAGTCCTAAGTCTGGATTTGATTAGGCCACTGCGTAATTTTCACTAGATCTCCTTTAATTCAGGGGTAGTTTTAGGGATAAGAATTGACAAGTGCTGATTTTCATTAATTCTCCAGATACGCAAGAGCATTGCAAATCTTAAATAAATATATAAGACCCATAAAAAGGTATTTATACATTTGTTTTTATGACTCTAATATGTGTGCATATGTGTATTTATATATACACACACACATACAGTAGGACAATAGATAAAAATAGGCTCTGGCAACAAAGTAAAGCCCTTGTATTACTTATAAACATGTACAGTTAGGATCATATCTTAAAATACATTGAATATTACCCCTCATAGCTCCATTACATTTTTGCAGAATAAGTCATTCACTGTGTTAAAGATTTCTCTAGTGCCACTGCCCATTGGTTAATGAAGCTGTACTACTTATCCAATTGTTATTTCATATGCTATTTAATGAATGGTTTTGTCAACTTAATTCAGGGAGAAAAGTGATAGTAAAGAGGTTAAAACTCCCCTTTGAAACCTCACTCTGTAATCCTATCTCTACCAGAGAAAAGGACTGGAGAAGAATGTACTCTTTAAATAAGGTCATTAGTTGCATATGATGCATTTTTGTGTTTCTTACTTTCAAATCCCTCAGAAGTGCTATACTGAAAAGTAAAAACACAAAAGATCCTATCAGTGGGAAGGTACAGAGCAAGAGGCAGCCTAACACAGCACTGGCCTCAGTGCCCAGAAATAAATCCATGTTTTAAATAAATGGATAAATTCAGTTCCAAGTCCTACCCCAGTTTCCAGGACTGCGTCAGGACTTCAGCTGCAGGAGGCCCTAGGTTTCTAGCTTATGAGATGAATACTTGTTGCTTTTATGCCTCACAGAAACATTTACACCCACCTAAGCAGGACAGAACAATTGGAACTAGATAAAAAAGCACCAAAATGTTGTGCTTTATTGAATGTTTACTACATGGCCAGCATTTAACCCTTGTAATTTCATTTAATCTTTACCCAACTCTAGTAGGTTGTTAAATTATCATTCTCCTTTCACAGAAGAGGAAAGTGAATCTCAGAAAGTCCATGTAACCTGCCCAAGGCTATAAATGTTAGTAAGTTCAGACCCAAGGCTTAAACCTAGGATATTCAACTCCTGAATCTGTGAATGTCCTTAGTACCTGTATCTGTGAACTAAGGATAAACAAACCACATACATGTGAAGTTTTATTATTCCTAGATACCCTAGAAAAAATATTTTAACTTGCCAGTGGATGGATTGATATACAAGAAAAACGTATATTCTTCCCAAGCCAATACCTAAAAAATTTTCAGAAATCATGACTTTTCTTCATGACTTGGTAGAAACCAAGGTTAAACTTAATTAAATAAACTTAAAATGTGTTTAAAATTTTTAATTTATTTAGATGAAACTTAAAATTTTAAATAAATTTAAATAAAAATGTGAACGGCTCAGAATTGTTTATGGTAAGATACTGTTCCGTCCTGTTTGTAAATCACATCAAAGGCTTCTATGTTCTCTCTTGAAGTGAAAGAAAAGTAAGAAATGAAAAACAATGAAGAAAATTTGCCAAGGTGTGAAAGTGGGGGAATAAATATACTTCTATAGCAAAGGAAGGAGGTGGTCATGAGCTTCTGAAGGTTGAGTAAGAAATGAAATAATTTAATAGGATGCTAAAGGACTGGCTTTGGGGTTGTGATGGTGGAGAAGGAGACATGGATTTAGTGAACTCCTTGAAAGGCAAGAAGACACTGCTTTGAGGCAGGCGGTATATTCTGAGCCATCTTGGTTTTGTAAGCTTTTAAATTGTGGAGCAATTGACAGAGGGACCATGAGGGAGAAAATTCTAGGGTTCTCCAAGCCAAGGCAGGGGAGCCTCTGCGGCTGAGAGTGCCCAGAAGCTGTTGCCGTGGAAGCCAGTTACCGTAAATTGAGCTCCAGCGACGTCGCGGAGACGTCAGACAGGTGGTCCCCTTCGAGCCCACTCCCAGCCATGCCAGAGTTTTGCCAGGCAGATCGAGTTCGCCGTTTCTTCTTTTCCTGCTCCTTGCGTTTCCCAGGCTTGCCTTTCTTCTTCTTGCCGGGCGTCTTCAGTGGCTGCTCCTTGTATGTCTCTACCTTGTTGGTTTCCTGAGTTAGGTATCTGCCCTCATCGTCCGACCCAAATCGGGAGGGGTGGTTCTTGGTGTTGGGAGCAGGCTTGGAGTTGGGGGAAACCTCCGAGGTAGCTCTGATCTCAGCTGTGTGGATTTCTGCGATCAGATGGTGAAGGAAGAATCGTCGCCGCAGGTCCTGGATGGACTTCCCCTTGTCGTGGAGGAGCTGGTGCTCAGACACGGCTCTTTTGCTTTAAGGAAGAGACACCAGGAGAGGAAGAAAACAGGGACATTTTAGTTATTGGTAGCGACCACAACCAAAGGACAGGAAGGCTCCTTAGCGTTCTAGTTGGCCTGATGACAAAGCACCACCTGGAAGAGCAGCAGGCCCGCCAGGCTGGAAGGGAGACTGCGCAGCTTAGGAGGTGCTTGCTCCACGTCCCAGTGTGAGACCTGGGGCTCCCTAGGTCTGTGACCTTGGTGACAGCGTGAACATTCACGGGCCTTGGCAGCCTCATCTCTTTAAAAGGAAAGAGTCAGATTCAGAGACGTCTATGCTCTTTTCTCAATTTAAAATATAATGATTGAGTGATTCTCAGAAATGGGCAGATACCACTGTTTTTTAGAGTTGTGTTAGGGAAATAAATCCCCAAGTCCTGGCCTGGCAGATAAAAAGGAGGCTGATTTTATCTGACCTGAGTACTCATCCAGGCACGCCCACATGCGTGTGCATGTACACACTGCTCCCCCAATAGAACTAATGATACTGAATCTCCAAGAACAGCAAACTAAGAATAAAAAGCAAACAAAGGCTGCAGGATGACGTGAGCAGTGAAGCCTTTCTTGGAAACCACCTAAGAGACTGAATTTTAACATGATATTAGACTATGGTTACCAAGAATCTATATTTGAAGGCCAGCTGTCAGAGAGAAAGTGTATGTATTTTTCTGTAAAGTAGTGGGTGGTCTTTTTAAAATGGGTTTCTTTGTGTGTTTAAGTGAGAGCATTCTGTTTCTCTTCTGGGCCAATTTTTTTTTTATTTAGAATTTCAGAGGGCATTATCAGTACTTAATTGAGAAATTCACTACTTGTTCTCTTGGTCTTAAAAATATCTTTAGGAACACATTTGAGCCAATTTTTCTACCTAAACAACATTCCAGTAAAAATATAGTGAAAAAGTAAACTGATTCTCTATCAATCCTTTTAGATGGCACCCTGACTCTTGCTTAGAAGTCCATGCATGTACTCTTTTAATATTCTCTGCATGTATTATTAACAATTCTTAAGAATCACACTCATTAACCATTCATATGCCTGCTACAACTCTGCCTCCCCTAACTCCAGCTTGGACCACTGAATAACCCTTCAAAGTGGTTCCTTTTCAAAAGCATCTGAAGGTATTTCACAGGGCTACCTCCCAAGTATTCTTACCTCCCTGACACGACGGTATCTGGGTCTTGGATTGCCTTCATTATACAACTTTTTTTTAACTCCACAGAGGAAAATGACAGTCATAAGTAGTGTTAGCTTCATCTTATAGACAGAGAGATGAAATGACTTGCCCTTCCTTACCCACACAATGAGAACAGGCAGAGCCAGGGCTCCAGAAACTAGGTCTTCTGATTCTAAAACCAAGATTGCTTTTCAACCCTTTCTCTTGTCGAAGCAGAAGCGCACATCGATGAAGCAAGAAGGGAGGCGCCCAGAGTAGAGCCTGTGGTGGGAACCATGACACTGGGCGAACAGATGGCAATTTACCGGTTTCCTTGGAAGATCAGGTTTATTGCCCCAAGAAGTCCATTTTCATCATCAAAATAAGGAACCAGGGTCCCTAGAGTTTGGATTGTCTGAGAGATTGTCTAGTTACACTGTGAGTCAAAGAAGAGTAAGCCATGGAAATACAGACATTATTTCTCCAGCTCTTACAGCCAGAATGCCAACTTCATTGTAGCATTTTAGTGTGTGGACTGAGTTTGAGCCATGTAACTTGTTCAAAAAAGACATGGCTTAATGGAAAGGAATTTAACAGGGGCCTGGCTTAAACGAGGCATGAAGAAGTCTCTTCCTTTTTGAAGGGGTCACATGTGACTAGATTAAAACTCACTTACTTTTGTTTTGCAATAGTTAGTATTCTGGAAACTTTTAATAATCTACAAATTTGAGGCTTTGGTACAACACATTTATGTCCTTTAGTAAGTTTTAAAGAATAATAGGACTAATATAATTGCATACTTAGTAAGTATTGTAGCTTAATCAGTTACCTTTTAGCAAAATGTCACATTAAAAGAAGCTCTTAACCAGTGATCATTTATAATATGGGGGCTTTTCTTTCTTTCTCAATTCCTGGCAGATATCCACCCCATCTGTATTGCTCTCCAAATGTGTAACACAGCCCATTGTAGCTTAACTTGAAGGCAAAACTTTTAATGGTTGGTCTGTTCTAATCAGGCCCGCATTGCTCATGCCCCTTCTGACTGGCATATATGCCTGTCATCTTGGCCAGCCTGTCAACTGTGAGTCACAGTGCCTTCCTAAGTCAAGCACTGCACTTTCCCAGGATGATTCGCATGGGAAATAAGAGTGGTCATTCTACTCTTCTATTTTATAAAAAGCTACAATACGGTATGACTTTGTCCAGTTTAAAATAGTACATCTCTTGTGAGGTACAAACTTTTTTCTGCCTGGTAGAGGTAATTGTTTTATAGAAAACACAGATCTTCTTCAATGCCACATCTGAAATGTTGTTACATAATTTACTTCACAGTTCAAAGACATCTGCATTTAAAAATTGTGAAGAATGAATTTGTGATTGCATAACTGCATGAGAGGACCAAGTGTGTAATAGTATTTTTTATCATCTACAAGGCATAAGGTCCACGGAGTGTTCTATTTATTTTCAAAATAAGACATGAAATGTCACAAAGATAAATGACTGGCATGTACAAACTAGATGTACATAGGCAGTGAGGAATAAGTCAAACTAAGGAGGCTTTCAGTTTAGATAATTCTGAAATATTTAAGTTGTAAATACAGCCTCTATAATAGTCTGTCACTACATATGTCTGTAAACATTACACAGCACAATGGTTCACACGGTGTTTATTACATATCTAGACACCAACATGGAAAAACAAGTATGTTGCCAGTTTCCCTTGATTATTATTAAAAAAAAAACCAAAAATGGTGGGGGGGTAAGGGAAATGCTTACTACAGAAGACTCAAAATTCAGTCAAAATATAGCTCTTCTGCTTTAAAGGACCATCATGCTCAAGGGAGTTTTTGAGAAAGATTAATTTCTAAGGAGCTATCAAGGAACACAGGGAATAAATGGACTGATGGGAATTCCTCCCCAGCACAGGAAACAGCAGCAGGGTTGTGCTGATGTGAGTCTTCTAGGGAAAGAGTCTGGGGTTGAGAAGAAAAGTTCTGTGGTACATGGGAGAGTCAGGGTTAGGGTGTTAGAGTTAAGATGACTCACCAGAAGTCCCTTCCAACCCAAATGACTCAGTCGAAAGTTATGCTTTTCATTAAATGGAACAGACCCAGTCTGGCTCTCAAGAAAATCAGTCAATGATGTTTTAGGTATGTGAATCTGTTGGGGTTCCCCCTCTAACTTAGACACAAAGGTTGCTACCTGCTCAAAGCCATAAACATCTGGACAAGAATGTTGATTTTCCACTTCCAATTTACTCATGCTCTAGCCCATTAATTAAAATCTTTTGGACTATAACAACTTATAATTGCCACCTCTGCATGGCTTAGGAAGTGTTACGGTTGGTTGTAGCAGTTTCCTCTCTTTTAAAAGCTAGCCCCTAGCTAGAAGAACATCTCGAGCAGTTTTCCTAAGACTTGGTGTGAAAAGTAATTGAGGAGTAATATGGTTTGATTATATGTTAAAGTTTCTTTCAAGAAATAGGCTGATTTAGGGTAATAGTAGACGAATGTTTTGTCTAGCACACAACATGTAATGTTACTTGGCAGCAATGCAAAAATAATGACTTGTTTTTTTAAACTCCATTTGGCTGGAATAATTTGGTGAAACATCTTCATCTACTGATGATTTCAGTCTCCATGAAGAACCATGGCTGTAATGTGATGATGTACTAGCCATTAACTATAAGAATGTTTTGTGGTAGTTTTATAACCATCTGCTGAGAGTGTGAGTGTTTAACTACAATATTATATTTCACCCACAAACAAAACTGTAACAGAGTCTCTGGCTGCTAAATAGTTTCTGATGTGTATTTTGCAAGGTGCAACAAAGAAAGAGTTAAAAATAGCCTTCAGGACATCTTAGTACGATTTTTATGCCTTATCAGTGGATTTAATTATGGTCCATTAACTGTTTCTCAAAAAAGAAAACAGGTATTAAGCACCTTTAGAGAAAAATTGGCCTTGTTCCAAGACAATATTTCTTGGCTAATATTTAAGCATACTTTTAAAAATCCAGTCTTAATCTGTATTTCTAAATGGATTTTAAATAATACAAGTCTCAAAATAAGCAAAAATTCTGAAGACAATTTTCAGAAATGCATCAGCAAAACGTTGAAGAATACAATGCAGCTTTATCTTCAGTACAATGTCCTACACAATTTGCCTTAGGAGATTTGTAATAGATTTTCATTTTGTTGCCAAGGTTCAGACATGTCTAAAGTAATTTCATTTAAAGATTTTCTGCTCTAATAATAATGGACCAAGGGCACATATTAAATAGTTGCCTTTTTTTGTACACCCTTGGGAATTTACAAGGAAGCACCATAAATTTGATTGTAAATATTGGACATTGCTATTTTTATTGTTAGTGTGAAAGCTCCTTAATTCCTTCTCCAGAGGCAAACTCTTCTCAGTTCTCAAGCTTTAGCTTTATGGTTTCCCATTCTGAACAGAATCTGCAGCTTAAAGATAACCCAATTGGTATTGCATACATTGACAAACTGCTAGGTCCAACAGATAAGATAATGTTACTCTGCCACTCTTCCAACTTTTCAGTCGTATGACCTATTGATATTTCTCTGATGTGCTTAAGCGTATGGCTATTTCAAAATCACAACTGTCCTTAAAAGAATCACCAAATGAGATTGCCAAAATATAAGCTTTCTGTCTACAGTGCAAATAGCTGGCTTCGGATTAAAGAACTGTTAGCAATAACTCCAAGAAAATGTGTATTTTCTTGGAATATTCATTTTGGAATCAAGCACACTAGCGTTCCTGAACTGTATCAATACGAACGCTGGAGTTGTGCCATTGCAAAGTTGTTACTTTATTATATAATACGCCTTCATTATGTAATGTGGTCCATTTTATATGCTTAAAATTATGTCATTCATAATAAAATTAGACGTAAGGTTTTTGCTTTTCAGACACAAACTGCCACCCACATTCAGCATGTATACACGCGTACGCACACCTATGTGGCCTGAATCCCTCGGCTTCCTCCGAGTTACATACCTCTTGCAATCCTAAGGGTTACAAATCCTCCCCAGGTCCTGAAAATCGCTTCTTTTCTTTCACTGGAGGCAGAGGATCTTTGCTTAGAGGAGATTCTGTGAAAAGCTTCCATTTATGGAAACTCACGCAAACTTTGCCTGTTGCCTGAGGTCTCCCGTTGGGGTTCACTCAGTTCTCCAGCCCGGTTAGAGGACAGCGGCTCAGCCCCCGGCAGGGAGCCCGTTCTCCGGATCTCCAACCCGGGCGAGGAGCGCCTGTGACCGCCGCGAGCCCTCGCTCGGCAGCGCCCCAGCCTGGCGGCCTCCCCCTCTGGCCTCCCAAGCCCGCGCCCGGCGCCCTGGGGAGGGCAGGGCACTTACAGCCGGCGGCCGAGCTCCTCCACCGAGCGCCCGCAGGAGGGCACCGAGTAGCTCAGCAGGAACACCGCGACGCTCCACTGCCGAACCAGCCTCCGCAGCATCGTATCCTCTCGCTCCCGGAACCTGCAACAGAGTGGAAAGGGGGCCGGTGTCAGTCCGGAATCTCCGTCACCCCGCACGGCACCGCTCCCCCTTTAGCCTGCTCTCAAACTGCGTCCGCAATCAAGGGCATCTCCCAAGTTGCAAAGAAAAAAAAGAAAAAGAAAAAGAAAAACTTTCTCTTGGAGCCGTTCAGCACTTACTTATTTAGGAACCAACTACTCCAACTGTGCTTTTTCCAAACCACACAGGCTAAAAGGGACCGAAAAGGAGGGGAAAAATCAGAGGCGCTTCCTCTGATTTAGTAACAAAAATGAAATGGCTTTATCTATGCATCAGTGAGAGCCACGAGCTGACATGTCTAATCTGGCCGGCCGTTCTCCTGGGTTCGGGGAGCGGGGCTAACCCCTTCCTAAAAAGAGAAGCAAGCTCCCCCCTCTGAAGTCAGCTTCTTCGCGAACTCGGCCGTCTGGTTTCAGGGGCGCTTGCAGAGACCCGCATATATATACATAGCCGCCTGTCTACCTCCTCGGGTGGGCTGGTTGCTTCCGGAAAGTTGATTCCACACACCCTGAGAACAAGTTTCAAGTGCGTGTGCCGTCCTTCAGGAGGGCCAGGTGGCCGCGAGGGCGGGTCAAGAGCGGCGCGGAGGGCGGCAGGGCGGCGGGGCCCCGCTTCACGGGCGCGGAGGCATGCCGGCCGCGCGGCGCAGGTTGGAGGCGAGCTGAGAGCCCCGCAGAGGAATGTTCACACGCTCCCAGGCAAACCTGCCGGGGAAGTGAGCGAGTCGCAAAGAGGTGGCGCCCTAGGAACGCGCGCAGGGCGAGCAGGGCGCGGGCTGGCGGGGGCGGCGGCGCGCGGCCCGAGCGCGGGGAGCCCCGAGCCGGGCAGGCGCGGCGAGTGGCGGAGCGCCCTGGCCTCCCGCCCCGCTGCCCCGCGCGCGGCCGAGCCCCACCCCAGAGCCCGGGGCCGGGGGCGTGGACGTCTCCGCGCGCTCCCGCCGGGTCCTGCGGCCGAGGACTGCGCGGCGGGTCTGGGCGCCGAGGCCCCCCGAGGGCGAGCGGCCGGCCCCGGCTGTCCCGGTCCCCGCGCGCCGCAGCAGCCGCGCCCGGGCGGCCCGGCAAGGCGGAGGCCAAGGAGCCGGGGCAGAGGAGCGCGGGCGCCCGGGATCCTCCGCGCGGAGGTCGCGGGCCATTCGCCGGTGGCTGTAAGGGGCCTTCAGCCCGCCCGGGAGCTCGGGGAGCGGGACAGGAACCCTCCTCCCTGAGCCCCTGCGTGGGGCGACCTGAGTGGGGAGCATCGGCTAGGGAAGTGGGGGGGGGAACCTTTGCTTAAAAGAGTAAAAGCGGTTCCAGACTTCAGGTCGAGATTGCATTTGCTGCTGTCTCAGAACAGCTGAGGACATCTGGAGCCCGTCCAAGAACACCCCGCGCGCACCGACGGAGACCCGCTCGGGAACTGCGGAGGGGCCGCCACTCCTGCGGAGCGCACGCGGCTGTTTGCCCGCCCGCTGGAAGCTCACCGCCCTTTCCGCGACAACCTACTCGGTCGCCCTCCCTCCCCCAGGCCCTTGTTACATATTCTGGAACGACTCCTTGTCGCTTCAGCCTGCAGATGCAGCGGAACTACCGCTGTGTGCGGCGCTGCCTCGGAGAAGCGAAGGGAAAGCAGGGGCTTCTTCTCAAAGCGGTTGGGCGGGGAAGGAAGACTGTTGTGAATTACTGGGCAGTATCATCTGGGAAAGCATTGCGGCGGATGTGAGCGCCCGCCCAGCCGGCTCCTCTATCTTTCTGAAATGAACGCGGGTGGTTGGGAACCATTCAAGGGATGTTTGTCTTCTAGAGAGACAATCCTTTCGGTAGGTTTGAATACTTCCTAGGAGGCCGGTGTGATTTAGAGATTTGAGATGATTACGGAAACCTGACCTTTATCAAGCCTGGCTTTCTGGCTGATGCTCCACAGATTCCACTCGGGGTGGGTGAAATAGCGCCCTCTCACCGACCCTCGCTCATTTCAGCTCCCCTTTGCCTTCGCTTAGTTAACATGTGCTGCTGACTTTGGGTGGAGGTCACCTCTTCTCAAAAGCTCCTATCTCCCTCATAGGATTACTTTAACCTCCATACTTTAAAAAACTTGGCTTCCTCCTACTAAAAAAAAAAAAAAAAAAAAAAAAGGCTGGGAATTTCCACAACTTCTCTTGAACGTTTAAGAATTTCTAAATGTTAGACCTGTTTGTATGGCATGAAAAGACAGTATCAACCTTCAGAAATGTCAACCTTTGAACCTCTAACACTTTCTGATTTATAATAAATTCTTGCCAAAGAGCCTTAATGCAATAGTTAGTTCTGAAGGGGGAAATCTGTAAAAGAGTAAATCACAAATGAGCCTTTTAATTCTTGCAAGTTGTTTCACATTAAAATGATAATATTTGCTTCCGCAATAAAAAGCCCAAAGGTACTTAGCCAAGTTTCAAACTACCCCGGCTTTAAAATATCAACCGTCCCTAATGAATGGTTAAAACAAAAATCAGACTGAAAAGATTAAATCACTTCTTCTGTAAATAAATCCATTATATTCTCAGAACATTATAAATTAAAACTGGCATCAGTGGACTGCTTTATGTTGCTTTTTCTACTAATGAAACCATATTGACCACCTGCTCTTTCCCTCCTTTCTTTTTCCCCCCCACACTTTTCTGGTGTTAATGGCAAAACATCTATCATATATTTTTAGAGTTTCCTCTCCTCCACAAAAAGAGAAAATATATAGACACAGGAAAAGTAAATAATCTTTATATACTTGGAATACTGAAGTTTTCTCATAATCTAATATTCACCTTTTCCTTGATTTACAGTCTTTTCTGTTCTTCTGACCAAAGGGGGGAGATCTTCTCAGCTTTCTATTCCAGAAATAATTTTTTTGTTGTTCTTCAAAAAGGTCTTGGATGAATAAAAACTTCCTGTAGTATTAGAAAGCAGGCACCTCTTTTAAGCTGTGGAAATTCTCCTCAATATATACCCAGGACCCTACTTTTTGCCTTTCTGAAAAGGGTATTTTCTGACATAATCTAGTTCCCAGTATAACTGAGTAACCTCCATGATAATGCTGAGGACACATGACTGCAAATGAGATGACTCCACATTAGGCTTTTTTTTTTTTAAGGTTTAGGAATAGAACAAGTGCCAATTGAGATTGAATGTTTGCTTAGGCCTTGCTATCACATCAATGCACCTTAGCAAACAGGATTTGAAGGCCTGTCTTTAATGTGAAGTATTTCCACATGAAGACAGTTTAGCATTGTGAGATCTACACCTACACAAATGCCTAGCCCATGAGCAAGCCCCAGACCTCCATTTTCTCCCCAATGGTGGCATTATACCTAAGTTTTAAAAAGAGTTGTTCTAAATTTTTAAGAACACTTTTACTGTAAAATCCATGTTTAAAATAACCAGTTGATGTATATCTCCAAGAATATCTCCTTTTTCAATTTAGAAAAGAAAACCCTAACATTTATATTTTCTTTTTTCATCTTTCTCCCTTTTCCCATAAGCTCAAACAACAAGCAAACATACAAACTAAAAAAAAGTACCTATGGCTCTTTAAACTGTGCACCTGGGCTCAGAAATTATCTCAGCTCATTGCCAATAAGCATCCAGACTTAACATTTGGCAATCGGTAGCTCCAAGCTGTATTTCTAAAATCCCATGAAACCAAACACTAAACTCATCCCTTTTCTTCTCTGGACTTTCTCTTTGTTTCCATAAAGAAATCTGCCTCATTAGCTCAAGTAAAGTTATTATCTGATTCCATTAAATGCTGTTCGAATCACTTGCTTGGATTGAGTCTTGAGAGGAGGGTATTGCCAAACTGACCTCATAGTAGCAAAAAAGGGGATGCCTTTAAATCCTAGGTAGGAATAGGAAAGGGTGTGTTTTGTTATTAAATCTTTCTGTAGTTAAGTAAGGATAAGATTCAAATGGGGGATGTCTTCTCCAGGAATGGGACTGGCTCAGAGAGAAAGTATCTAGACTTGCCCCAAGCAGATGGGATTCTCTTACTGGAAAAGTGCTCACGCCATCCTCACCCTTCCTTACTTCTTGGGCAATGTTTGGCTTTCTCCCTAAGGGACGGGAAAGTCCAGTGGTGAGGCAGTTTGCCCCTGAGGGCCCAGCCATGGTGAGATGAGGAGGTCTTTAGGAAACAGGGGTCTCTAGAGGCTTGTTCTCAAGGTCAAACACTTGTGAACCTCCTCAGCCCATGACCATCAAAACACGTTTGAGAAGGAGCCTTCTGGCCAGGGATGGAGTGTGTGTGTGTGTGTGGCAGGGATGGATGATGTGTGGTGCACAAGCCCTTATCTGGACCAAGGCCTGCCGGATGCCCTTGGTGGGCCGAGTTCTTGGCTCCCGGAAGCAGGCAGCCCTGGACTTGTGCGAGACCACAGGGGGAGTTCCAAGTCCACCTGGCTCAGAGGACAACCTCTCAGCCTGAAACTGATCTCAGGCGGTGCCACACAGCCTTTCTGGCCGGCGCCCAGCTCCCCGGTGAGCAGAAGAATCGCCCTTTCTTAAAATGTGAGCCCTGCAGTCTGGAAGGCACTGCCTTCCTTCAAGAACTAAGGGGTCGCTGGGACCTGGGAAGCGGTTTGCCTCCCCAGCACCATTTTCCCCTGCTGCAAAACCGGCCGGCTTGCAGCCTCTCCCCAGGGCAGTACCCGACCTAGGGTCCCCGTTCTGAGGTTGTGATTACGGTGTCTGCGGGCCCTGCCTGCCTTTCCTGGGATTCTTGCCAGAGCTAAGGCCAACGCCTGCCCTCGCTCTCTGGGTTCCCTCGCCTGGCGGCGCGCCGGCTGCAGCAAGTGGGTGGGGGCGGTGGGCTGGGGGGCGTGGATCTACCAGGGCAGGGGTCTAACATGTTGGAAGTGGTCTGAGCACGACTGGACCATCCTTATCAGCCCCCCACCTCCAGCTCCAGAGTTAGGTCGCCCACTGCGGTTACGATCCCCGAGGAGCCCGCGGGCTTCGGGGAAGTTCAAAGGCCTGGGAGTTACTGGCGGCACTAACTCCGTCCCTGGGCTCCCGGGCTGCTCTCCCTGGGAATCCGGGCGCTGGGTTGCCGCACAGAATCCGCTCGGCCCGGGCGGTAGAACCCGAGCCTTGGCGCTCGGCCGCGTCCCGTCGGGTTTGGTGCGTGGCTGGGCACCGCGGTGCAGTCGCTGGCCCGCCGGCCTCCTGCTCCCCGAGGGCCCGGCTTCCGGCTGCGGAGGGTGGAAGCTTTCGGGAGCAGAGTGACCCGAGGACGGGGACTGAAAGCGCGCGCAAACTTCCTCCGAGCGGGGCTCTTCCCTTACTTCTCCCTTTTATGCGGTTTGACACTCAAACTTGACTCGAGTCCCCAGCAGCCCGGGGACGCTCAATCCCAAGGGGGTGGAGATGGGGAAGAAGGGTGGGGCAGGTGCGCCGCGCCTCCCGGTGCCGTGGTGGTC